ACAGCCCCTCAGGCTGAACACTTAACCTTTCTTCTAAGTGCAAAACCTCTGTGAAAAATGCACAATAATTTAAAAGGTTCTTGAATGGAGGCTCTTAATTGTACTTTTTTATAGCTATTATAGCTATATCTTGAGTTGACCAAAGATCTTGATGTTACATTATAGGTCCTTCAGATGACCTTTTTGTTTTTGGCGTTGTTTTTTTTAAGAATTAATACTTTTATTTAGCAAAGATGCATTAAATTGACCATAGGTGACAATAAAGACATTTCTAATGTTACAAAATATTTATATTTTGAAAAAAATGCTCGTTTGAATTTTCCATTCACCAAAGAATCCTAAAAAATGTATCACGTTTCCACAAATATATTCCACAATTTTCAACACTGATAATAAGAAATGTTTCTTGAGCTCAAATTAGCATATTAGAATGATTTCTGAAAGATCATGTGACGCTGAAGACTGGAGTAATGATGCTGAAAATTCAGTTTTGCATCACAGGAACAAATTACATTTTAAAATATATTACAATAGAAAACAGTTCTTTCAAATTTTAATATTATTTCACAATATTACTGCTTTTACTGTATTTATGATCAAATAAATGCAGCCTTTGTGAGCATAACAGACTTCTTCCAAAAACATCAACCCCAAATTTTTGAATGGTACTGTAAATGGACGTTTTTATTTTTAGGTCATTAAATTAAACGTTTTAAACTACCATCCAGAAATGACTTTTCAATTCCAATTCAGTTCCTAAATTTGAATTAAGGTACCAAACAGGAGGCAGAATTAAAATTTGAATGTCAGTAGAATTAAAACTGAAATTCAAGGAAATTTATATACTTGTAATTCTGTAAAGGCAAGTTTTGTTAAAAGTTTAAAGATCAAAAACTCTAAAACTTCATCACGTATTAAATTTCTTTGAACTGCAAGTCAGTAAATTCACCTTCCCGTCACTCCAGTTCAAATTCCAACAAGAGTTTAACTGAGTTCATCCTGACTGAAACCTGAAGACGGTGAGTTCAATTCTCATGGATACTTGACGGTTATTAGCTCATTAAGAGCCAGCACTCTGGTGGTATGACCTGCAGCTATCAGCGTTAGCCAAGAAATTGAACAGTTCTCGCTCCAAATCATGATTTCATGTTTGGCCCTGCGCTAGAGTTCCTGCACAACACATGCCCAGATTTATAAACGGTAAATATAAATCTAAAAAAAAGCTGCAGAAACCTAATTTACGAAGTTCTGAATTAAATAAACCATGTAAACCCATGCCACAAAGTCACAACATCAGGCGTGACAGGGAAAAGCTGGTTTGATCAGGAAGGTAAGAGGCTGATGTGTTTCCTAAGTGTTGTCAGATGTGGCTTCTGATCCTGCCCGTCTAATAGCCCGGGTGAATAATAGTTTGGAAAACGCTAGTTGTGGTGAATGACACACCCGCTGGTAGAGGCACGGTTTCTTCTCCGTTACAAACCTCAATTATTCAGACTCTCCACATCATATCCTCTAAGGCAGAGGCAATGCATTTAATATCGCAATTAAAAACAGCAATTATGATGATTTAGGACAATCATATTTCACATTCACACACAAACACACAACACACATGTGCAAAAACGAAAGCAGCCAGACCAAAGTGAGAATCCAGCTTGTGAGTGTCTTGTGACGCTGTCATCAGAAGCTGCTGGCACTTCCTTAAGTGATACATATGGTTGGTGTGTATGTGTGTGTGTGTGTGTGTGTGTGTGTGTGTGAGAGAGAAGATATGTCCTTAAGACTTATTGCATTTCTGTGAAGTGAGTGCCTCATCTCCATTCTTTCCGTTTTCCGTTCATCTCTTTTACCTGTCTGTTGCGTTCGTCCATTATCCGCGCAATCTGAATCTTTTTCCTCCCCATTATTTCGGTCTGGTATTCCTTCCTATTCCAAAAGTACTGTACACACTTGTCTTCCTTCCTCTCTCGCTCTCGCTCCGATCCTCAGCGCAGTCTTTCCTCTTTGCTCGTTCCTCTTATTTCAAAGACTCTGGCATTCGTTCCTGAACAGACAAGACAGAGAAAGAGACACAGATTTTATCAGACAGATGTGTGATATCGCTCATATGCTTGAATGTGGGAAAAACAAGGCGCGTCTTGGTTAACAGCATACAAAATCAGGACTTTTTGTAAATCACAACTGATTTATAAAACATGTTTAACATAGCAAAAAAAAAACTTCCTTTAAAATATTATTAATGTTTAAATATTTATACATTTAAAGAGAACATTTATAATATTTAAAAACAATGAACTTTAGAAAATAAAATTCTTTTTTTTTTTAATATATTTTGAATTTAATTTAATTTGACAGATTTTATACTGATTTTATTATTTTTATTTATACATTTTATTATTTAAATACGGATATGGCAGCAAGTTTTAATCAATTCAGTATATATATAT